AAGCTGGGGGTGCCCCATCCCTGGGAGTGTGCAGGGCCAGGCCGGAGGGGGCTCTGAGCAGCCCGGTCTGGTGGGAGGTGTCCCTGCCCCTGGCAGGGGGGTTGAGACGAGATGATCTTCAAGGTCCCTTCCAACACAAACCATTCTATGATTCTATGAATGCTCTTAAATACCTCAACTTTTCTCATCTTTGCGGGCACATGTCAATTCAGCATCAAGGGAAAAAACAGACTCTGAGATTGAATACTTGTTAAAGAGGTGCTATAAAACACCACTTATAGCAGAGCCAGAGATAGAAGACAAAGATTTCATGAAGAAGTTATGTTAAGAAGGCTAAGGAAAAAATTGATTTAGCTTAAAAAGGATAATTTCTGTTCAACTGATCTTAGTGTACACGCAGACACACTCCACATTGTTTAAGTTTTCATGATGCAAACTTCTTGAAAACACCTTGAGGGCAAGCTAGAATAGCCAATGAACATGACATACCACAGAATTTATTTTCTTTCAGCAAGAATCATGCAGGAAAAAGGGAGCCCAATCCCATGGATGCTACGTTTCATTAACTCTATGAAACAGCATATTACAATTGTATCATGCCCCACGGCTCAGTTGAGGCCAGTTCTGTTTAACATCTTTATCAACAACCTGGACGAGGGGATCGAGTGCACCCTCAGTAAATTTGCAAATGACGCCAAACTGGGCGGGAGTGTTGATCTGCTGGAGGGGAGGAGGGCTCTGCAGAGGGACCTGGCCAGGCTGGATCAATGGGCTGGGGCCAATTGTATGAGGTTAAACAAGCCCAAGTGCCGGGTCCTGCCCTTGGGTCAGAACAAGCCCACACAACGCTACAGGCTTGGGGAAGAGTGGCTGGAAAGCTGCCTGGTGGAAAAGGACCTCGGGGTACTGGTTGACAGCTGACTGAATATGAGCCAGCAGTGTGCCCAGGTGGCCAAGAAGGCCAACAGCATCCTGGTTTGTGTCATAAATAGTGTGACCAGCAGGACCAGGGACGTCATCTTCCCCTGTGCTCCACACTGGTGAGGCCGCACCTCAAATATTGTGTTCAGTTTTGGGCCCCTTATTACAAGAAGGACATTGAGATGCTGGAACATGTCCAGAGAAGGGCAATAAAGCTGGTGAGGGGTCTGGAGCACAATTCTGATGAGGAGCAGCTGAGGGAACTGGGGTTGTTTAGCTTGGAGAAAAGGAGCCTGAGGGGAGACCTTATTGCCCTCTACCACTACCCGACAGGAGGGTGTAGTGAGGTGGGTGTTCGTCTCTTCTCCCAAGTAACAAGCGATAGGATGAGAGGAAATGGCCTCAAGTTGCGCCAGGGGAGGTTTTGACTGGATATTAGGAAAAATTTCGCGGTGCTGAGGGCCAGGGTTTAGTAGTGGACAGGTATGGTTGGACTCGATGATCTTAAAGGTCTTTTCCAACCAAATGATTCTACAATTCTATTACTGCATTAAAATTTTGGGAAATTATATGGCTAATGGCATTGCCTAAAGTGACATTATTTGGCTATGCAGCTTGCCAACCTTTCCAAATAACTCAGTACAGCACAACCCTAAATCTCGTCTATGCATTTTTTTCCACCAGAGGGTGCTGGCCAATTTTTTAAAATATATGTTACACAGGGATAATTTAAGGTGCTGTACATAGCAGAAAACTGAAACAGGAACTAAAAAAGAACTTTCCAATCTTTGTCTATTATGATACGCTCAACAGGAGCAGCTGCGGAGTAATTCCATTCTTAGCAGGGCAGTGTTTACATCCAGGATTCCAGAGGGTGTCCTGCTGTAATGCGCAAGACCTATTTATGCAGTGGACATTATCACTTTGCAGTACTTAAAGCATCAGTTTACTCTGATTTGGAATCTCATAATTATTAGGAAAAGAAATAACTAGTTTTCAGATTGTTTTTTCTGAATCCCTGTAGAAAAATGGACAGAGTGGAAAACATTTTACCAGAGAATCCTGTACTCTTGCTCAAGTGGGAGCTGATGTTGGAAGTTTTAGAGGAAAGCGTATGTAGCTTAGCAGCACCAATAGGATAAACCATAATAAGTATAGTCCATGCCTATGAAATGATTGGAGAGTCATATGAGATTAATTATAATTCTTCAGCCATTCTGAGCTGGGGGGGGGGGGGGGGGGTGCGAAAGAACACACCATCTCCATAC